AGACGTGTGCTCTTCCGATCTCCCCAAAACCCCAAAACCCCAAAACCCCGTGCTTCAACATTTACATCAATTCAAGATAAAAACTATATAATCAAAATTATCAATCAATGGAATTACAAGAAAGAAGGTCATAGCAAGAAGCAGTAATAATTATAGAATTTTCACAATTAATATTTTAGCTTACTAATGAACTTCTAAAGTATATAGATGACGATGACTTGCAATCATTTGTTCAGACAATAGAGCAAGTGATTTATAACACCTAGTAAAGTATAAAAACAACAATACAGATTAAGCCTAACAGGCCAAGAGATGGCAGCATTATCAAGATGCTCACCTAATCAGAGTCTTCATTCATTCATCAGCTCAATATACATGGTGGAGATCTGGACCTGGATTCTTAGTAAAACCTGCATAATAATCTAAATGGTGGAGCAAATAATAGTATCAAAAGCAAAATAGATGAATTCACATTGTTGATTCGAATTATAAAACTGGAAAGAATACATTTCCTTAAAGAGATTTAATTTAAGCAATTGTTCATCATCACTTAGAAGGACATGTTCACAGGTGACAGCATACTACACTATGCGATATTTGACAACAAGACAGAACTGACAAAGCAGATCATAGAGCTCAATCAAAATGAAGTTAATATGAGGAATGAGGATGGAAATACACCCCTGGCTTATGCTTGCTTGAGAGGCAACTTAGAGATAGTCAAACTTCTACACAGCACCGGGGCTATTATGAATCAAAAGAATTAAGCCAACCTTAGTCCATTAATGATGGCTATACATAATAGCCACTACTTTGTTGTGCACTATTTGCTAGGAATAGAGTAAGTAGTAGAAGGTGTGCTAGGTGCCTTCGAACTATACAGATTATTGCAATTTGGAATAAGCAGTCTCAGCTCTTAGATATTTTTCTTGCTTGTTGAAGTGTTCCAAAATAAGATTGAAGAGATCTAAGGAAAATATGGCCAGTCAATATGGGATATGAAGTACAGTAATTAGAGTTCATAAAATGCAGATGTTTTTAATAATGTGAATGGATAAGACATGTCTAAAGATGATGCTTATAACAGCATTGACAATTCAAATTCACTAACATACAAGGACATGCTAGCAGCAAATCAAAGTGGATACACATTGCTTCACTTTGCTTGCTCTTGTGGAAACTATGATATTTTTGAGTTCATTCTAAGCTAAGTTTAGAATCTGGCTTAATTGTTGTTTGAATATGACAACCACACTAAGGAAACTCCACTTCATTGGGCAGTCTTAAAAAATAACTATCGAATAGTTCAGCAACTAATAGTCGAGTATCAAAGCATAGTAGGGTTAAATTTTGATTAAGATCGAGCTGATTAGAGTGAATTGCATATTAACCAGTCAAGTATTCAGAGAGACAGCTTGAAGAGTATATTAGATTTGGAGAACAACAACTAGCATACGCCCTTCTTCGTGGCAATTACCAAAGGTTACCTAGATGTTGCAGAGATTCTCCTTGAAAATGGACTGTCTAGCATTGATGTCAAAGATATGGCAGGTGACACTCCTCTTCACTGGGGAGTCATACTAGGCAATATAAAGACAGTGGAGTTTCTGATATCAAAAGGCATCAACGTAGACGAGCAGAACTATAACCAAAACACTCCACTTATGATTGCTTGCACTCATTCTCATTTTGGTATAGTTGAGACTCTAATCAGGTAAATTAACCTTAAGTTTTGAATTATTCAATAGACACAATGCAAATGTGAATAAAGAAAATGCGAACGGCATGATATCCTTTCATGCAGCATGCTTAAGCGGCAATATAGATGTGGTAGAATACCTTCTGGACAACAAAGCTGATTTTATGAAGAGAGACAGAGTAAGTTATCAATGCCAATTACGCTAATTAGAAAAACTTCTTGCCGCTACACTATGCAGTGATCAAGGACCAGGCCAAACTCATCAAGTATCTTCAAACGGAAAGGCACTTCAGCATTTTGAACCCAAAATATTTCTATGATAATACACAGACATTGATGTCTCTGGCAGTACTTAATGGCAGTTATTAGACAATCCAGCTGTTCGCTAGTGAGTGGGGAGACAACCTGGATATCAGAGACACCGAGGGCAATACATATCTGCACTTGGCTGCAATGAGCGGACATGTGAATGTATTTCTGTTCTTTTTGAACAAACAGATCAGCATATCAAGTAAGAACTCTCGTGGCAAGACAGCCATTGAACTTGCCAAGATATATAAATAGGATCACTTGATCAGATATCTGAGAGATAACTTCGAAGAGACTAATGTGCTCAGAAATTTCGTATCAAACACAAATTTAAATGCAAATGCTGCGCAGAATATCAGTAATCATAATAATAATTCTAGATAGAGGCATTGAAATATGAATTTGTAATTCTTAATTTCATAAATACTTGAAAGAATTTTCTTAATGGGGTTTTGGGGTTTTGGGGTTTTGGGG